CGAATTTGAGGAGCTTTGGAGTTTGAAAATTTACCTTGAATTTGATGAGTTTCATGACATGCATTTTAGGCTCGTGCGTCGATGAGCATTATGATTTGCAGTTTAGGCTCGTACATCAAGGAGCATGTCAACTTACATAGACTCTTCACTTTCGGTTTCGGATGAAAACTTGTCCTCATCCTCATTGTCGATTATATTTCTTTGTAAGTTTTAAAGTTGGACAACTCCTAATCTCCATTTGAAGTCATACTCAGTTCTATATCATGAGTATGCGTTGCTAGTTCTTCAAACGTTTTAGGCTTTATGTCTTGCAATATGTAACGAAGATCCCAATGCATACCTTGGATGCATATTTCGATCCCAGAAGTTTCACTAAGGCGATCTTTGCAGTTAAGGCTCAAGCTCCTCCAACGATTTATGAAGTCAATGACTTGTTCATCATTTCTTTGACGGGTGTTTGCAATTTCTATCATGCTCACAACACGCCTTGTGCTATAAAAACGCTTAAGGAATTGTTGTTCCATCTGCTCCCAGCTATCAATAGAACTAGACTCAAGATCTATGTACCATTCGAAAGCAATTCCCGTGAGAGATCTAACAAACTGCTTAACAAGATAATCACCATATGTTCCAGCATTATTGCAAGTTTCGACGAAGTGTGCTACATGTTGTTTTGGATTTCCATTGCCGTCGAATTGCTGCAACTTAGGAGGTTGATAGCCAACGTGTATTTTTAGGTTATCAATTCTCTGAGAATACGGCTTTGCATATGTGAGAGGAGACTTTGAGAAGCGAACGACTTTTTGGATGTAGATAAGCTCAATTGGGCAAGAAACCTCTCGACCATTTCAGCGATGTCTTCTTTTGCGGCTTTTGCAGGAGATTTTACACCTTTTGGAGATGAACCAAAGACAATAGCAGATTTGGACGACACTCGGGAGGCTTGTTGTTGTAGCAATTTGGCTTGGTTCCTTGTGACAGGTCTCATGCTTCCCGTAGTAATATCAAGGATGTTTCCCTCAGCAATGCAGAATTTGGATCCATTAGTTTTTGCAGATGAAGATGCAGATGTGGATACAGATGCAGATCCAGATTTAAATGCAGATGCAGATGTGGATACAGATGCAGATGCAGATGTGGATACAGATGCAGATGCAGATCCAGATTTGGATACAGATTTTGAGTTGATCTTCTTGAAAGTCATCTCGGCGTTTTTGAACTTTGATTTTCCATCATGTTTGTCAACTTGGTAATTTTGACGTCTTGACCTTTGATATACGTTGATAGGCCTTCAACTGCTTTCGTCAAATTTGCAAGTTGTTCTTCTATTGTAGAAGTTTCGACCACCATCGTGTGCATTACCATCGTAGGTGATGGAGAATAACATTGATTTTCCCAAACATGAGATGCAAACATGTTGTACGAGGTAGATCTTATGGTTAAGACATCATTGTCGGCTGAAGAGAACGAATTTTTGGATGTAGATAGGCTCAATTGGGAAAGAACCGTCTCGACCATTTCAGCGATGTCTTCTTTTGCGACTTTTGCAGGAGACTTTACACCTTTTGGAGATGAACCAAAGACAATAGCAGATTTGGACGGCACTCGGGAGGCTTGTTGTCGTAGCAATTTGGCTTGGTTCCTTGTGACAGGTCTCATGCTTCCCGTAGTAATATCAAGGATGTTTTCCTCGGCAATGAAGAATTTGGATCCATCAGTTTTTGCG